TCACAGACCCTGAGGTCACGACCAAAGTAGAAACAACCAGGCCTTGCGTCGGCACAAGGGGACAGGTGTGGTATTATCAGGAGCTCAAGGGTGTTTTGGCAAATGGTGGAGGGACGATTGGGCGTGCGCGGGGGGGGGGGGGTGTTGTAGTGAGATCCCGGTGGTATGTATCGCAGACCAACCGACCATTAAGCCACAAGACACAATCTCCTATGACAAGGAAGATTGTAAGGAGGTCCTACAGCTTCTCACTTTGTACAAGTAGTTCTCGTACAAGTATATGTGCGTGTGTGTGTGTGTGTGTGGCAAAGCATAGCATGCGTATACCTCGTATTACCACCATCTCTGCCCCAAAAAGGATTCGACGTGTCACGCGCCCTCCAAAGCCAGAGAGGCAAGAAATCTAGAACTTTTTGCGCAGCCTGAGGATCCATCCGGGGTTGGCGCCTTGCTCCTTCGCACACATTTTCACCTTTTACAAGGACACACTACCGCAGCTTAACACTCGATGTCTCGTGCGCATCTCTTGAAGATGGGTAGCCTCTGCGTCAGCGACAACTCCCTTCCATGCTGCCCTATCACCCTATCGCTCCGATCTCATAGGTACAACAGGGCAACTGGGATCTCTAAGTGATCGGCGCCCAATTCTAGTCTGGACTGTGGGATGCATATGTAGCCAGCACACCCGACTGGTTCAAGGGGTCGCATCTCCAGGCCCGCGACTCCCAAGCGCCACCAGGTGTTCTGACTGTCCTGGTGGAGACTGCACGACATCCCTCCCGAGGTGGGCTGTTGAGGAAGAGTAGATCTGTCGAAGAGAAAAAGAGGGCCCTCGATCGGTATGCTGATAATCTATTTAACACTGTTTTGATGACATCCATATCTCTTTGGTCCCATACTCTTCCTCACAATTCTTCATCGAGGCCCACCGATACAAAAGGATAGCCCTGTGCCGTGGGCTGGTCTTAACGAATGACAAAAATTCGGAATCTCTTCGTGGCACAAAATGTGTTGCTGGCGCAGACCTTCCCTTCAGCCCAAGAATGATATATGTATCGCTTTGAAAACCTCCTGGAACGCCGTTCCTCCTTTCCCTGCTTTGCAGCAATAACCTCCGTATCTATGTATCCTGCCCGTTGGGTGCCCCGACTCCCGTTCACTATACATTCCTTCCCAAGACCTTCTATCGTCGTTGTCTCCTGTCTCGATCTCGATCATGCTCATCGTCGACGATGATGATACTTTGTCGTCGTGGGCGTCTATCCCCGGTCCCTGGTCGTCGTTCCTCTCGAGCTTGTTGGGTGCGGAGATGGTCGTAGTCTTCACGAGCCCGGTCGAGAGCCGATCGGTTTGTTTCACGAGCAGGCACCACAGCCGTCGGGTTGTGCACCACGACGCCTTGGTGGTCTCGTGGTCGTCGAGTCTCCACGAAATGCTCTCGCTCCTCCTGGTGGAGACGGGTTTCGCGCTCGGCAAGGTCTCTTTCACGCTTCTCCAGAGACCTCTGGCGCTTTTCCAACTCAAGGTCGGCCTTGAGTCGATCGGCCTTTTCTTTGGCGGCGGCGGCAGTCAGCTCTGCCTGTCGTCGCTTACGCTCTTCTCGCTCTAGATCATCACGCAGCCTCTGGACTTCCGGATCGGGGCGCACACGCACATATTCCCGTCGTGCGCCGTCGTGATCATCGTCCATGCGTGCTCCGGTCATATAGTACTTGCCGCTGTCGCGCTTTCGTGGTGGAGAGGGACTTTCCACCTTTGGATGGGCGTCCTCATCGTCGGCAGGCTCATGGATGACCTTGACCTTGTGGTGCCGCGGAGACCGTTTCTCCACGACATACTCGATTGGGTCATCCTCCTTGTGAGGCTTGGTCGTCTTCGGTGGCAGCTTGGGCGGCAGAGGGGTGAAGATGTTGTCTTCCAGGTTGGACGACATGGTGTGATATGGGCCTCGAGGAGGCGAAGGAGGCGGGCGTGGAGGACTCCAGCTACGGCGCTCTGGCCGTCGACTTCGAACGGGGACTTCTTCAATGATATGGACTCTCTTGGTGCGAGTCCGGAAGAGGTTGTAGAGCTTGGATCCAGACGTCAGCCGCTCTCTCTCCGGTGAGGTCGTTCGCACGATGCGGTAAGTACGCACCTGAGGACTTCTTTCAATGACAATCGGTTCACGTGTATACTCGTCGTGGCTTCTGCGGCGCCTATCAGACATTCAAGGGCCGAGATGGGAAGGTCGGGTCAGTGACTGAGTGTGAAGACGTCTGGAAGTTTGTCTCTAGAAGCAGGAGGAAGGGAAGGACTCGTTTTTGGGTGGTTGAATGGTTCGGTATTGGATGTGGAAGTGAAAAGTCAAGTGTTGGGATCGCCAATGATATTGAACGAGTGATGTGATTGACAAGTGAGGGTCTTTATTTACAGAAAGACGTTTGATGGATGCCTGGACTCATATACAGTTGTCGGTACGGGACATTGTGAGGGATGGTCGGGTTATATCCCTGGTCACCCGTAACGATCACAGAGAAGTAGCTCGAATACCGGTCAGCAACATCGTAGTCCGGAGCAAAACAAGATCGCTTGTCACAAGTATATCGCTCGTCCGTCCGAGTTCAAGGCTGTGGCCTCAGCCAGCTGATTTGGTGCAGTCGGTATGATTTTGCACTAGGTTCACAGAAACAATGGGTGTGGATGGTGGGCAGGTCCCAGACCGCAAGGGGAAGCGGACACTGGTGATTGGAGCCTTTGGGGTCGGAAGCAAGGGATGAGATCCTTCGGGCCCTATGCACGGCCGAGAGATCATGATGCAAGTGTCAACCAGCTCAAGAGGGCGACGACATTTTTGGGCAGAATTTTTTCTGTTTGCACGGTGGTTCGCAATGGGGGGGAATAAGGCAGCAGGAGGGGATTTTGGTCAAGGGTGGTGGTGCTTTTGGTCCCAGGACCGGGATGGCCAGCCTGGTCCGAAGTGTATTCGTATGGCGGGTATGGGACAAAACATGTCAACCCGGCTTGGCCATCACAGATGCCATTTCCCACCTGATCGCTGTCTCTCTCATGGGGCTATCTTTCCTCCGAGATGCTCGCCAGCCCCCTATTGTTTTGTTTCGTTTGTGAGCTTGGAATGCTGAAGAGGCATTTCCACTCACCACCACCGACACGGGTGGCGGCCACCAGCGGTACCAGACGGCGAATTATGTCAGCGAATCTGGGGAATTCGGCCAGAGAAGGGAGCGGCGTGATGTCCCTTGCACGACGCTCCGAATCTGTGGCTTCTCCCCGTGCAATGGTAGCAAGGGGCCAACAGTGATGTAACCATAATAGGGGAAAGGGGAAGGGGAAGAAGCTCCCAGCTCCAGTTCCAGGGGGGGGGATATGGACTCAACGGGTGCGGCTCTGTGGCTGTGCGGCCCCCAATTGGCAATCAGGCTCCCCGTCTCAAGCAGAAAAGTCGACAAGACAGACCACCAAAACTGGGCTTCTGTCGCCTTGTTGTGGCACTGCCACCACCGCCTGACCTGACTTGGCGTCATTGAGGAAATATTTCATCGGGGTATTTTTCTCTTTTTCATTCGGCTAGATCCGGGGGGGAGTCCCCCAGGGCCTGTGATGGCTCTTTGAAACAGTACAATGCAGGGAAGCGCTTCGGGTGTGTGCCCAATTGTTCCAGCTCTTCCCCTTGCAGCTCCGATCAAGCTTCCATGACTCACAATCTATCCTGGTGATCTCGAGGCTTGAGTATGGGCTTTGGTCCGGGATTGGCTCAATTGCCGTGGCCCTTAATATCGGCCTCAGCCGCATGGGCCGAACGGACAAGGGGTGATTTGGCCGCTTTCTGTGCAAAACTCCCGTGCAGAAACAATCATGTTTGAGGGTGGAACGGGTCAACTGATCACTAAATGTTAAGTAGAATATAGGCATTTTTCTGGATAGACGGTAAGGGCAGGATGACAGGGGTGAGGGAGTTCCCTGTCGCGCTGAATGGGCGGAGCTAGTTGGGGAAAAGTTGCGGTCTTTTGTCGTTGGTGGCTGAGAAGTTGGGCAAGGCTGACAAGAAACGACCAAAGGGCCCATTATTCGTCAAGCTTTCATTTAGTGTTTATGTCTGACGGCCACTCCTCCCCTGCGCTGCCGCTGTTTTTGTTGCATTGACGCTGTCAGACGCATGCAGCCAACCGTCTTCCCCGGCAGACACCAACCATTTGTACATCAAGTGGATGCCCAAGGGAGACCTGGTCACATACAATGGATCTATGTAGATACCCACAGGTTGGGTGTCCCCTCAAAGCTTTCAAACTTATCAAGGCTGATCTCTGCATGACTCTGCCGGTGGCGACAAAGAAATCATTTGAGCGATCCCTACCACATACGAGTACTCCGCACAAGCGAACGCACAATGGTGGAATGATGGACATATCGTGGTCGGAGTAAATGCTGCTCCGATTCACAAGGCCAGTCACTAGTAGCCAGGTATACTGGCTGACTGGGAACCTCAAGCCACCTCTTGGAAGCTTACCCCTCCTTGAAATCCAACAATAGAATGTACTCGTATGGTTTGCTGCCAGGAGCAACATGAAGCGAACTGCCTCGACGACCGCCAACTTCGCAGCCTCGCTCCTGTTACTGATGACTCTACATTGGTACAATGTCCTCGAGGCAAACATTACAATCTTGATCACATTCCATTTCGTTACAACATTATTTTGATGTCCTGGCGATAATCCCTGTACAGATGATGCCCGCGTATTTCCCTTGACCATGCACGCCATGCAAGACACCTTCAAAGCCTGGGTGCTCTGAAAAACCTTAACCAACACGAGCAAACACATAGACGAGCTCGTCTTTCCACGCTCAACTCCAAAGACAATAAACCAGAATCCCGCCCTCTATCCTCTAAGGAGTGGGCGAGATGGTAACTGGCGAAAAGTGTGCGTGGAAACAACAAGATCTTATCAAATGCCGCAAGCAAAAGCACAAGCAGAGTTTCCTGACCATAGGACGATAAGAGCCTATTGAGCCCAGCTTCCCTTCCTTGCCCTCGCGCCCCAATCCTCGTCCGCGCCCAAACATGCGCGCCTTCGTTCATCCGCGAAATTCGGGCTCTGTCGGGCCCATTCTCTCACATATAACCTCAGCGCTTCCCATCGTTTGCATTTGCCGATGACTTCAGACTCATCCCAGCCATCGCCCTCTGGTGCACCCACGTACCCCTTGGCATCAACGTTGTTATCATCTTTGCGGAGCTCCTCAATAGGGATGCGAGAGATCTTGCTGAGTTCCTCGTCAAACATATGTGCGAGACTAGGGTATCCCAGGCTCAGGTAGTTATAAATTTGGGTGATCACACGGTTGGGGAATTCATCCTCGATTTGTTTTTCGATCCGTAGCTTCTTGTCGATAGTACTAGTAAACGGATCATCGCCATCGTGACTCCGTGGAGGAGTCAGAGGAAGAAAGCCAAGACCCGAGAAGTGCTGCCGCCGGCGAGCAGGAGTCTGATGTCCCCGACCAGGTGTGCTGGCTTCGAATGGGTTATTTCTTTCCCCCGCTGGAGTTACGGGAGACGGTGTCTGAATGCCACTACGCAAGCCGTTCTGCGGGCTCTGAGGTTGCCACAGCCCAGCTTGACACATGCCCATCCATAGCCCGTCGCCGGCATTGTTCTCACGCTTTTTGTGTGGTCTCCAAAGTTCAGGGCTACTGGGTACCGTTGAATCATCATCGCTGTCCGCAGTTCGTGGTCTTGGGGGTTGATCAGGATCGCAGCGCGTCATTTTTGGTGAGATGGTGAACGGGAAGATAAGGTCGTCGCCCAGCATCGGGGGCGACGCAGCAGCCCTCATACGTGCCAGTTCGGAGTCCTCTTCCTCTGCCCGGGGCTTTTTCGTCTTCTTCAAGCCTTTTGCCTCCAATGCATGTCGGGTCGCCAGTGCTGTAGCACTGAACCGGCTTTGACCAGCGGTGTCAGCTTTCAGCTCTCGTTTGGCCGCTTCTAGCTGTTCGTGATGTTTTCGCATATTTTCCAACTCTAGATTTAGCTCGGCCGCCGACGACCGTCGGAACGTGCGCGCATCGGCCCCCTTTTCACCCTGAAACATTGGAACTGGTAAAGGACCATCTTCTTCATCTTCACGAGAGATGGCAAAGTGATCCACGGGCTCATGCGGCCGTTCATTGATGTAGGCGGCCATTGCCTGTTCCTCCAGTTCCTTCTCGCTCACCGTCTCTGCCGCCAAACGAAGGACATATTCAGTATAGCTATCCTTTGCACTAGGTGGTGCTCTCTTCGCAAATGATTCCACAGATGAAGGGGAGTCGCTTAGCGAGGGTGCTTCGGAGCCTTCATCTTCTGTGGTCGACTCAATTATGGGCAAATCAGGGACAGCAAATGAATGTTGGCGTGATATTTCAGGATTCTTTCGAGCCAGTGCCGCCGCAGAGAAGCGCGAGTCTTCAAGTCCTGGGACGTCTTCTGTCTGTTCTTCCTCTTCGCACAGAGGAAACGGCTCTCGTCGACCAGGTGCAGGTGATGGTCTAGTTTCAGCGGTGGGGAGGTGAACACGGCGATAGGAGCCTTTGGCGGTCTCCAATAATTCTGGAGAGAATTTGCGGGCTCCGGACGAAGCTCTACTAGAAGAAGAGGAGTTACCGGTTGTTTGAGGGTATTCGTCCGACCCTTTTGCATCTGGTTGCCGTCTTCCTCTCGTGGTCGTGCTGGTCTCTATAGGCTCCGGGACAAACTTCCGGCGAGGACGACTCGATGTCGTCTCTGCTCCGTCCTTGGATTTCTTTTCCTTGGAACTCCTTGTCGTCGTCTCAACCGGTTCTGGTGCAAATCTCCTCCGGGGTTTGGGCGTCTCCTCTTCTTGGGGATTGTCTCTGTCCTTGTTACTTCTGCTGCTTGTTTCGACAGGGTCCGGGCTGAATTTCCGTCTCGAGGACTGAGAACTCGATTCTATAGGTTCAGGCGGAAACCGTCTAGGTCCCGCAGAAGCACCGCTTGCGTGCTCGCCGGGAACGGAGGAAATATCGTTCGGTGATGGGACGGCGCTGATGTTGTAGTCATGTGCGGGCACCCCTTCAAACCCTCTGGCCGTTGTCGAGTCCTCGACACTGTCAACGATATTCCTCTTCCTAGAACTTCTGAACGTCTCCTCCACCGGCTGAGGCAAGAACCTGCGAGGTTTGGTCTGAGGAGGCATGGGGTATGCTGAGTTTAAAGATGGCTTGTTGGTAGGAAGTGTGGATGAAGAGTGGTCTGACTGGTTACGGGCTGATCTTGAGCTTCTGACGGTAGTCTCAAGAGGTTCGGGTGCGAATCGCCTGGGCGGAGGCGGGGAGGTCGATGCCATGATCTAAACCGTGAGGGTGGTGGAAGCTTGCCTCATTTGACAGCCCATGCTTTGCTCGGGTTCCTTTCTTGGAAGGGGGAGGGTTTCAGGAGCACGCGAGCACGGGATGCAGCGAGAGGTAAAGGATGCGCAAGGGCCAGAAAATGCGGGGATCATGTACTCTTAGACGAGTATTCGGGTATATACGGAGGATGTTGCGGTTGTATGAGAAGGACGCGAGGGTTGATATGTGATAAGGCGGAGCAGGGAGACGAGGAAGGATGAATGGAGGGAAACGAACGAAAGCGGACAAACAACCAAGTCCTCTATTTGATCTGGCGGACGCACGGGGACCTTGACTTGAGACACAACAAGTCTGAACTCAAACATGCAGGACGTGCGTGGGATGGTTTGTTTTTTTCGATCTGGTTCAGAGAAGCAATGATGGGCGGACGAACAGGAGGAGGTGTTTTTTTGGAGAAGCGATTCTAGGACACGGATATGGAGAATGGAATGATGATACAAGGGACGAAAGATACAGTAACCACCAGTGATATGCGTCGTAGCGCTCGTAGGCTTTTTTTGGTGGGATGAAGTTGAGCGCGAGTACCCGGTGGTGCATTACCCGTACCAGCCGTACCAAGCGAAATGACGATGACGACCTTGTTGGGCTCTACGAGGTACGAGGTCCTCCAACGTCACCACCCGGCGTCCCACTGGCTCTCGCTTCTTTTGGGGGCCCATGGAAGAGGGCGTGGCCTTTGACTGAATCTGCACTGGGTAGCCCCGACCCTCGCCCAATTTCCCCATTTTAGGGGGTTCAACGGAAATCCTTAGTAGTCTCTAATTTTGCAAAGTAGCCAGACTTGACTAACGCTGAGAACCTGGGCCTGCCTGGGCTAGACTTCTCCTGCTCACTTACGGTCGCCGGCCGGAGGGTAAATCAACCTCAGCACTCGTCACCGATGTTGTACAAGGACTCGGAAGAGTACCTAGGTACTCTGCACCGAGTATTGATCGCCCTGTTTCGGACCTCTGCTGCTCTACGCCGTAACCAAGATGGCGGTCTAATTCCCCCAGACTCCAGATCGACAGGACTAACTGCGCCCTCATCCATCTGCGAGGTCTACACCAAGTAGTGAAAGGCGGCGCCACATGAGACTGGACTGACCACGGATGACCTCTGAACAGAAAATCAAATACTACCGAATCAGTGTGCGGGACTGACATCGGGACGGTCTCGACATGCATTTCAACACTTCTTGTTTCGACCATATGCTGATCCAACAAACCAGCTGATGCCATGCCTTGCCTGACTCACCTTGCTCGGGCTGATTCACCCGAGCCGCACTTTTACCTCTTTGCCCATCTCGAGCATCTCTCTAGACCGTCATTTCCCCTGCCTACGAATACGACCGCCGTAAGAACCCAGGATCCAAAAGAACCTGTTTTGAAGAAGTGTTCCCCGGATTTCGTCCTGAATGGCCAGTACGTGCATCACTGGCGGACGTCGTCCACCGCTCTCTCGATCCAGATCCATTCGCGTCCCCCCTCTCACCCGACTTCTCCCGAATCTCTTCCAGGGTCGAGCATGAGATCCATGCACCCTTGCCGCATCTACCCATGCAGACCACTGCAATAGATCTACTCTGCTCTCATTCATGCGTCCTCCCGTGCGGGCATCAATAGTTTCAGGCAGACCGCAACGCAACGGACAGCTGCAGGCATGGTACTATGCAGTCAGGAACATGTTACCCCGTATTTCAGGGTTCAGCGCAATGGTGCTTTGGTTCTTTCTCATCCAGTCATTCCCAATGGCGGTCAAGTCTACGAATACGGAAAACAGTCCTCCATCGCCTGCTACATTACTCCGTACCAAAAAAAATCAGACAGTAACGAGAAGAAAGAAAAAAAAGAAATCAGCCATCATCCTCCATCTCTCTTATCTCCTTGTCTTCCCTCGTTGTAATCTTGGCGAGTCCGGGCTCCAATTGTAAGCTGCTGGCCATATCCGACGAGTGCTGGCCCGTGCCCTCCGAATTACCTGATCCCACACGTACACTGCGTCTCCTCTCGCGCTGGTGCACGATTCCCGGAAAGGCGCGTGGCTCTTGGCCCGAGATATGTGCGTCCGCTGGGTTCGAAGTGGTGGAATATAAGACGCTCGAGGTCCTTCGAAGTCGTGTGGGTGAAGTATTACCCGGTGGTCCGTTTGGGTTTGACTTGGACAGCGCTGCCTCCCTCTCCCTTTCTCTGGCTTGCTGAGCCGGGGCGATCGAATCAGCCACCGCAAACGACGCATAGTACTGCCTGGGACTCTCCAGACCCCGGTATATCTCATCCACTGGTGTTGCCGGGTCCGACGGATCGGGCAAGTCAGGGGTACAGCGATCGAAGTGGCTATAGTCTTTTGTATATTTCGCAATGAATGCGTGCTCCGCTTTCAGCGTCTCGTGTCTGAACGCCTCCCGGACGTCGGGGACGTTGCACTTTGCGACATCGTTGCCTAGCACGCCAGGCAGATAGCAGTATTTGCCCAGCCAGCGCTGCTTCAGTGAGAGTTCAAAGCCACACTGGTCGACCGAGTGTTTGGCCAATTCGCACATGTCGACCGCGGAGAGCTTGTAGATCTGCGCAGCAACCGAGTACTCCTCAATCAGGGGTTCCTTTGTGAAGGCGAATTGCAAGGGGTCATCTGTCGACAGCGACACGTTGAGACCCTTTTTGAAGTAGCTGATGAACGGGTTGCGGTCGTAGGTCAGAAACAGCGCGTTGTTGCTGAGCGGAGACATGGCGATGCCGATCTGCTCGAGGTAGAAGCAGTACTGCAGCAAGGGGACCTTTCGCAACATGATCCCGTGGCTGATGCTGTGACAGCACAGTAATGCCGCAGCCAGGTGATCGGTGTCGCCCGCCTCGCCACAGTGAGGGCGCAGGAGGAAGGTGTTGAAGTTTCTCCGTTTGCGCCAGGCATTGAGAGATGTCAGGTTTGCAAACAAATAGTAGATCCAGTATCCGTAGGGTGGGTTCTGCTTGGTGTTCCATTCCTTCGCTGCCGGATATTTGCGATACAGCCGTCGTTCCACCTTACTCTCGTCGTCGACGCTATCGAAGCCGATTACCCGTTGGAGAAAGACGTGTAGTTTGGGATGTGTGGAGGGATCCTGCGTCACCTCAAACAGAGGCTGGAAGATGTTGCGGAGCAGTTGCTCAAAGTCCTCCATGGTCTTGAGCGACTTGTACAGGGCGAACAATCGCGGGATCTGAATGAGCCACCGCACGTTGTGGGAGAAAAGCTTGTTGTCGACGACCCACGCCGCCAGCGTGTCCCATTCACTCATACTGCGCCCGTAAATGCTGATTCGCCACTCAACCTGTTTACGCTATGGTCAGCAGGGCGAGGCAGAAGCTTCTCCGAGTATGGACCTTACCATCTGATACTTGCTTGACTCCAAATCTGTGATAACCTCGCGGGTAATCTCGGCAAGATATCTCCCCTTGATGAAGTTGTCGGTCTTCAAAAAGATATCTCTAAGCCGAGACTGTCCGATGGGATTGTACTTCAAGTTGAACTTGTCAAAGCGATGGAACGAGTCCGTATGAGCGTGCATGTCAAGGGTGTCAATGCTCAAGTCGTATGCCGTGAGATTGATGCTGTCGAATACCTCTTTCAGAGTCAATTCTCTACCGTCGCGCTCGATCACTATTTCATCAGGGCACCTTTTCATTTTGCTCTTGATGAAACGCAATAGATGCTTCTGGTTCATGCACGCAGAATGATGCACGTGGGTGTCCACTTTCCTGACGTTGTAAAAGTCTCGATGAGGTACCTTCTTCGTATCTGCGACCTCTTCATACTCATTCAAGAGAGCATACAAGTTGTATCGCCCTTCTAGGTATTGCAGGCGGCGGTAGGCAAAGCTCTTGGCTGGCCCATCGGAAGCGATATCGAGGATCGTATCAAGTGCCATGTAATAGTCCCGCAAAGTCGGAACCTCGACTATTGGCTGATCGTCTTCACCGTAAACTTGATAGACACTTCCAGCATCCATCTCGAAGCGCAAGCTCTTGGCTTGTTTCCCGGGAATAACGCATTCGCTCAAGTCGAAATCTTCGCCAATGGCATGGCCAGGCTTTCTTGCCTTTTTGGCACTCGTGGGTGACGCCGGACCTCCTCGGTCAGAGCCCGTCTGGCTTGCGTTGGTCGGCCACATGTTCAACTCACCTGCACTCGCATTTCGTGCCTTCATGTCGATCATGTACAGACTGCTCGACGTGCTGTTGGGAGGAATATAGCCCTGAGGCGGTTCGCGAGCCTTTTGCTCATTCCACACCGGGTTCGGTGGAGGCGGATAGATTTCCCAAGTTTCTTCATCCTTTGGGTTCACGCCGGGACACTGTAACGAGAGCTTGAGATACTTCTGCCTCAAATCCAGCACTGTCTTGATCTTGTCACAAATCGACTGCACTTCGCTAATGATCGATTCATCAGTCGTAGCGAGTCCGCCGGGGCCAGAGCCCAGGCCCATTCCGGCACCAGCGCCGTGCATACCTTCGTGAGCTAGCAGAGGATCCTTGAACTCGTGTGGGAGACCAGGGTGGCGTTTGTGGTCCCGTGCAGCGGCATCGGCAAGCAGTGTCGGATCCGGGCGGATTTCTTGATGATTGCCCACATGAGTTTGCAGGGAAGGAAATGACTCTTTGTTATGGTTGAGTTGAAAGCCGCTGGGGCCAGTGCCACGTTGGGAGACACGAGACTGCCTGGATGTCATGCTAGGGGTCCGCTGTAGCGTTGCCATTTCTCCATCCATCGCAGAGGCAGGCATGGTGTAGGACTTGCCCAACATCAACGGACTGCCGAAATCCTTCTC